TATCCTCAGAGGAATGCACAGCACATTTCATTAGGGTTCACACCCAGAGAATTTCGCCTGTGTGGAAGAGGGGGCTGGAGCACTCAAGGGGAATGGCCAGGGTATGCGCCCTTGAGCACCAAACATGACTTCAGCCCTGAAGCGCTGCCGCTTGGAGGGGCCCACATTGTCGCTGGAAGTGATGTAACAATGCAGGGCTCCCACATGCATGAACACCACAGAAGCAGCCCCTAACCTCCTCAGATCTCTCCCCGCCGAAGGTAGACTGGGGTAGGCTTCTCGCAAGCCAACTAAAACACACGCCTGCCTTTGCAGAAACACCTCTCCCAATCCTTCCCAGCCTGTACGCACCATCAGCGTTGATGGTTCAGATGGAGGTGGGCACCATGGCCCACTTGAAGGGGTGCGACACAGCTTGTTGGAAGATGCAGAACAGCAGCTTGGTTGCATTGGTGGAGCTGGTGCACTACTACAACAAAGCAACTAAGCAAGGTCTCACAAAGCCACTTTTTTGGTTGTTGTTGTTAGACAGTGCCTGGGCACACCCTGTACACATGCCTACACTTATCTATCCTCCTTGAATTGCTGAGCTCTCCCCTCCCTCTCAAAAGTGCCATGGGATGTTGCTCCCCCTTAAGTGCAAGGCAGAGAAAATGGCCCAATAAATATTGTTGCTTTCCCCAATGTAAGTGTTGCGTATGGGTCAAGTTTCATGTGCAAGTTGATGCAGCACAAAATGAGGATTTGGGACCAATTCTGTACCTTTTGTTCTGCAAAAGGAGTAGCCAACATGATGTTCTCCAGATATTGTTGGGCTATGGTTTCCATCATCGCCAACCATTGACCATGCTGGCCGGGAGCGATAGGAGATGTGGTCTAAAATGTGGAAAGCCCTATGTTGGATAGCCACTGCATCTGAAGCAGCTCATCCTGGTGGATCTTGCCACTGGATTTTCCCCTTTCAGCCCTTGTGTTTGGGGCTTGTGAATTTACACAAGAACCTTGAACCTGGTTCAGTAGCAAATTACTGAGCAGCACAGCTCTCTCAGGACCTAGTAGAAGGGAGGTTACAGCTTGGGGTAGGGCTTTTTTGCCCATGTCTTGGTAATGTTACTGTATCAGGTTAAAAATGCACTAGGTTCGTGAGAACAAAAGGCCATAATTGCAAGTTGCTTTTGCCCTTTAGCAATCCATACCACAATTTTCTCATGTTTCCCATTCTTCCACCGATCTATCATTTTATCTAATAGTGCCCTTAGATTTTCTCAGAATTTTTAAAAGCGATTAACCTTTCACTCGCTAGTGACTGAAGGCTTCCGTCGCTAAAGCATTGTAACACAATAATTAATGGGTCTTCACTTCTTCCTTTTTCTCTCTCTTAATCCCCCCCCCCTCCTCACAGCTTAATTCTTTTATTTTTCCCTGAACAAACAGATACACTGCAATCACCACTGCTGGAATTTTAGGGGCAATAAGTATGATCTCAGTCTGTAGCAGATGTAAACTTCAGCACCATTTTCTATCCAGTTCAATTTTTGTATCTTTAAACCCAGTGAACCTATGAGTTCAATTCTTTAGTATGAATATACACAGAGATAAACAGCTCATGGAGTTTGGGAATAAAATGCTCCCAGTACAGTAGGGAGTTTTCAAATCCAGTTGCCTGAATATTGGACAGGCATCCTTATTAAGAGCTATAAAATCTCTCTAGAATGGATTTGGGGGCTGAAATTGGTAGACTTGGGGCTTGTCACACTTCTGCTTGCCCTGTGCCTAGAAAGCATGGGTCCAAGTGGTTGTCCCACTAGTGTGGCTTTTTGTACACAAATGCATTTCACCAGGGGGACTCCAGGTTCATTTAGCTAGATGGAAACTGTTTAGAAGTATATCTGCAACCTTCAGTAATTTGCTATGCAGATCCACTCTTTCCTTTGTTACATTATCAATATTCTACAGAGCTACCAGTATTAATAAGAAACCTTTTCACTGGTTTTCTTTGTTCTAGTTATCTAATCTCCTAATGAAAGTTTCTAATTAAATTCATACAATCATTTTTTACTGTGTTTTGCTGTGCTCCAAAATGCCCCTCCCTGAACAATGACTCTTCCTGGCTGTTATACACTCCCTTCTACATATGCCTCCATCCTCAGCTAGGTGTAAGGGCTGCAGCAGGCTAGCAACTCTACTTCTCCATAACAGGAGATTGTGTGTAGTTGGCTTGGTGGTGGGCCACAACCAGGTTCATGATTCTTGTTGGCATCCGTCCATCTCAAGAGACAATGGAGTGGTCCTCTGGGGGTGAAGTCAAACTGCTGGAGAATCACAGTGTCTGCTGTGGCTGCAGAGACTGGTAATTTGTAACTGCTGCCTCCCACATTGGGTGTTTGCAGCATCCAAGTGACCTCCCTGGGGCACAAGCCTAGGCAATGTGTATGGAGGTCCTGGGCTGCCCAGATGACAAGAGCCCCTTCTTGGACTTGCTGATGTAGTCCAAAGCAAAGCAGTGCTTTTTTCTGGATGTACTCAAAGGTATGCAGTACTGACACCTTTTTCCAATTAAATATGGTGAACTTGTGTTGTTCAGACCACTGCCTTAGCACCAATGTCCACCTGAAGGTTGTTTCATATTGGCACTAATAAAGGAGATTTACATCCCAGCTTTTAGATTGCTATTTCTCAGTGTTATTTCAGTCCTTTATGGCTTCTATTAAATTAGCCAACTGCGACAGATCTGTAAGGAAAGGACTATCCAATAGCCCTTTCCCTATTATATGAATTTTTTGCTAGCCCCTTCAGAATGCGCAGGGATGTTTGGAGGGACAGAAGTATCCATGAGACACTGGCCTGGTTCTCACATCACATTAAATGTCTCATCAGGTTAGAAAGTCTAATCCCACAGGGGAGGGGCAAAGCAGGAACATTTGGAGCCATGTGCACGCTGCTCATTAAATGTGAATGAGCAGCATGCTGCTGCACATGGCTCCAAAAGTTCCAGCTTTGTTGCTCCTATACCCTTGTCCATGTCAGAAGCAGCAAACCACAGGCCTTGGCTTGTCATCCTTATCCAGACCTGGGTCTGTGATTTGCATCTCTGCAAGCAAGCCGCAAGCGGTAACTAGTTTGTGTTAAACATTAACTATGCTGTAAGATGATGTGCGAACACAGCCCACTGTTGGTATTAAGGGTACTGAATAATTATCAAACCACTCAGAATGGTTGCCAAATTCAATTTCTAAGCCAGCTCATAAATATCAAACATACTGCACATCTTCAAGTGTTGTTCAATGGACACTTTTGAATAGGCCTGTAGGTGTCCAGTCCTTCCTTCAAGCCACTTTTGTACAATCAAAGTGAAAGTAAACTTGGTTCGGAGGAGTAAGTGGGAAGGGGTGGAGGAAAAGGGGGGACTTTAAAACAAACAGTGCATTTACTTGTGCTTAAAATGAATTCTTCCCTTTTTAACTTATTCAGAACATTCATCTATTTGAAGTCTGCCACCCAAATACAACAGGTTTTATCTCCGAAGCAAGAGAAATATGGTAATTAAAAGAAAACATTAAAAAAATAAACAAGCACAACAAAATGTATTTTAAACTGTTTCCAAGTGATTGGAGTACTTTGATTGTAGGAGGTGCCTACACTGAGAGTCTAATGTGAAACTGAGCGTTTCTGCTATATCTTTATTCTTTTCCTGATATGTTTTTATGGACAACATTTACATCTACCTAATTAAATAAACATGTATTCTTATAAACATGTAACTGTCACAGTTCCTTGATTAGCTTATCACACACCATATTTTCTTGGCACTCAACTCCATGAAGTTTGTAGACTTTCCGGCAAGTTCCTCCCCCGCCCTCAACACATTACTAATACGAACTAAACAGCTGATCCTAAAATTCACCAGTTCAGGTAGGCTCTCAAACTGCTGTGAAATAAAGGCCTACTGGAATAATAGAAATAGCACATCACACACCCTTTCAAGGATGATTCATTTCCTGTTTTTAGATCATGAGTGTCTATAAAATCATAGCCAAAGCCACTAGCAAAATATCAGAATACAGCTGGAAAATCAGCATAAATAAAAATGTAAATAAAAAGGTGGCCCAGCCACCTTTAAAGTCCCCTAGTACAGAAAAGTCCTAAAATGGCAATCCTATACTTGAGTTACACCAGCTGAAGAGCCATGGGATTTAGCAGAAGTCCTTCTCTGCTGGCTGAACATGAAATACATGGAATACTTACTGACATAATATCCTAGATATATTGGCAAAGATGTACCATCCAAACGACTGGAGTTGTAGGCAGGATGGAAGCTAACAGAACAGGATACTCCATATCCTATCCTTCAATGACACAACTGTACACCAGCCCGAGACTTCTGCCAAGGGAACAGTGTAGGTGCTGTGTTGCTTGGTCTCTGCTTCCTACAGATAGAGAACTGCATGTTTTGTTGCAACCCTGGTTTGGAAAATAATCCTTACATATGTACATTTAGGAAGTCAGAAGCATGGAAACATAGGAAGCTGCCTTAAAGGTAAGGTAAAGGGACCCCTGACCATTAGGTCCAGTCGTGGCCAACTCTGGGGTTGCAGAGCTCATCTCACTTTATTGGCCGAGGGAGCCGGCGTACAGCTTCCAGGTCATGTGGCCAGCATGACTAAGCCACTTCTGGCGAACCAGAGCAGTGCACGGAAACGCCGTTTACCTTCCCGCTGAAGCGGTACCTGTTTATCTACTTGCACTTTGACATGCTTTCGAACTGCTAGGTTGGCAGGAGCAGGGACTGAGCAACGGGAGCTCACCCTGTCACGGGGATTCGAACCGCCAACTTTCTGATTGGCAAGTCCTAGGCTCTGTGGTTTAACTCACAGCGCCACCCGCATCCAGGAAGCTGCCTTACACTGAGTCAAATCATTGGTCCATCTAGCTCTGTAGCGTCTACACTGACTGGCAGAGATTCTCCAGGGTTTCAGACAGGGAACATTCCCAGCCATAACTGGAGATGCCAGGGATTGAACCTGGAGCCTTCTGCACTCAAAGCAGATGCTCTATCGCTAAGCTACAGCCCTTCCTTGACCACAACCGGTCTTGACTTAGTTTTCCATGTGCATGGATGCTGGTTGTTGCTTTACAAGAGGGAGCATTCAAACCATCTAGTCGGAAGTGGCATGGTTTATGGAGTGCACTTTGTGTATCACGTTTTCACTTTTTAAAATTCTTTTTTCCCCATTCAAAAGTGTGATACTTTAACTCAGTTCTGATGAGAGGTATTAGGACTGTGCTGAATGTGGCAAAACAACAACAACAACAAAAACCATTTTCAACCATTTGAGTGATGCTGAAATGAAAGTCTTCTGAAGCAGTGGGATTTTATTTATTTTTGGCCATTACCTTGCTTAACCTTATGAGACAGCCAAGCATTTTTTCAAGTTTCTTCTCTTGCTTTAGTTTTTAACTTAAAAAAAAAAAGCCCTCACAGGGCTGTGTGGTTCTTTCCACAGTTTGCTGCCAGCCACACATTGTAGAATGCTTTGGGAGTGCCACCCAAGGCATCCTGGGAAATGTGAAGCACCATGAGGGGCTCTCTACCTGCTCCTGCCAACCATGCATCCTGGCAAAACTTAGTATGATAAGCAGCAATGCCATCCTGAAAACATCAGGTAGATTTCTACATCCCACCCCTCCTAAAAGCATCAGAACACTGGCCCTCCATTTTCACAGGGGGAGAATATTTTCAGGAAACAGTGGTAGTAGCAAGTTTCAACCCGGCCTATACATATATAGCCAAATGATTAAAAGAAAAGGAAATCCTTTGTGAATGAAATTCTTACTGTAAAGTTATCCATAGAGGATAACATTTGAAATAAATTGTGGCTTGGGAGTTGAGGAGCGTCTGGAGAAGAGAAGGAAAGTCTCTTTCCTCTGTACAGGTTTACAAAAGGCATACAGGGGAGTGTTATCTAATCACACTCTGCCTTTTCCACTCAGGTAGACAGACATTAAGGTGCATTAGTACTATCATTTGTATGTCTATAAATATCCCATAAAGTCTGTTATTTGGCATTCACACTGACACAATAGAGGAGGATGACGATCCTTTTCAGGAAATTTCACAGAGACATTCACAAACAAAAGTCCAGTAATTTAATCTTCTGAAAGCTCAATAACACCACACTCAAAATTGCAGGTTTGAAGCTAATGTAGTTGATAAGCAATGATGACAGAATTTAAAAGGTCCATTATTTGGTAATCTAATATTCCCAATCCCAGTTATCTGTCAAAGAGTATACTCTCCCTTATACAGCGCTAATGTGTTCACATCTACATTAATCTCTCCCGGAGAAAAGGAGCATTCTTTATGGGCTTTATCTATTTCCAAATGTCTGACTCCACAAGGAGTCGGTTTGAGCCACTGATGAGACTATGTAAATGACTCTAATGTCTTTGTAGGGTAGGTGCTATTTCTTATAGACATACTTGATACTGTCTCTTTGAAAGGAGCTTCCCAGAGCTCTGGCCTCATTTGTTAATAATAATAATAATAATAATTTATTATTTGTACCCCGCCCATCTGGCTGGGTTTCCCCGGTCACTCTGGGCGGCTTCCATAGAACCAAAAAATACAGTAAAATATCACAGATTAAAAGCTTCCCTGAACAGGGCTGCCTTAAGATGCCTTCTAAATGTCAGGTAGTTATTTATCGCTTTGACATCTGATGGGAGGGCGTTCCACAGGGCGGGCGCCACTACCGAGAAGGCCCTCTGCCTGGTTCCCTGTAGCTTTGCTTCTCGCAATGAGGGAACCGCCAGAAGGCCCTCGGCGCTGGACCTCAGCGTCCGGGCAGAACGATGGGGGTGGAGACGCTCCTTCAGGTATACTGGGCCGAGGGCCGTTTAGGGCTTTAAAGGTCAACACCAACACTTTGAATTGTGCTCGGAAACGTACTGGGAGCCAATGTAGGTCTTTCAAGACCGGTGTTATGTGGTCTCGGCGGCCGCCCCAGTCACCAGTCTAGCTGCCGCATTCTGGATTAATTGTAGTTTCCGGGTCACCTTCAAAGGTAGCCCCACGTAGAGCGCATTGCAGTAGTCCAAGCGGGAGATAACTAGAGCATGCACCACTCTGGCGAGACAGTCCGCGGGCAGGTAGGGTCTCAGCCTGCGTACCAGGTGGAGTTGGTAGACAGCTGCCCTGGATACAGAGTTGACCTGTGCCATGTCTAGAACTTCTTAGTCTTCTAGTGCTGTAATGCTACAAAACAATGATCATTACTGTAACCTCTGTTCCTGTTCTTACCCTTATTTCAGATAATGGTGGTTAGGGCCGTATCAAAATTCAATATGCACTGTTGTGTCCTGCTACTGCACACTGCCAAAGATGGATCCCTGTGGTCTTTCTGTCATGAGGACTCCATGCAGACATTTTAGAACTTTTATAGCTTCATCCGATCTCACTAGCGCAAGACATAATAATAATAATAATAATAATAATAATAATAATAAATTTTATTTATATCCCGCCCTCCCCAGCCAAAGCCAGGCTCAGGGCGGCTAACAACAAACAAATAATCAAACAATCAAATAATCCAACATTCTAAAACATTTCATTATAAAATTAATTAAAATCAAATTAATGGCAACCGTTAAGCAAAGTTCTGTGCAGGTTGCCGGAGGTGGGAGTCAGGCTGGGCCCTGACCAAAGGCCTGGTGGAACAACATAGGAGACAACAGGGCCTTCAAAGCTTGCATCAAAGCCTTCTTGCATAGTCTTAAGGAGGGTAGCGTGCCTTCTCATGTTGGACATTCACAGGACAATTCACTGGATACTCAGGGCTGGGTTTGTCCATGTCAGATGCCAACTAGAGCTACTTCAAGATTTGCTTTAGGAGCTGGACACACACAGCTCAGAGCTAGAACAGAAACTGCTGCTTTTAAAAATCAAGACAACTTTTATTAGACATTTGGGTCTGGTGGAGCCCATAAGAATCTATAAAAAGCCCTACCATATCAGAGCAAAGTCCTATCTAGCTCAGCATCTTGTTTTCCACTATGACCAACCAAGGCTGTGGGAAGACCAAGAGCAATCGCCTTATCCTATTTGTTCCAAGCAACTTCTATTCAGAGGTATGGAGTTTCTCATCCTGAAGGTAACCATCACGACTAGTAGCCATTGATACCCTTATCTTCTTTTGATTTCTCTTATCTTCTTCTGAAGCCCGTTAAGAACGTAAAATGAGCTGTACAGGATCAGGCCAAAAACTCATCTGGTCCAGCATTCTGTTCTCGCAGTGCTGAAGTGGATGCCCATAGAAAGCCCACAAACAGGAGTTTAGTGCAGAACTGGCCCACCGATGAGCTGAAGCACTTGCCTCAGGTAGCAGAAGAGCAAGAGGGGGTATCCCACTTGCCCCACCTCTTCTACCGCCAGAATGATCCTCTCTCACTGGTGGAGAAGATGAGTGGCAATGCCTCAAGGAACACCCTATCTCTTGCCAAGTTTGGCAATGGGGGGAGGGTTGTATTCTGGCAGTGGGGGTAGTGGTTGGAGTGTGGCATGGTGGCGACAGGTGGGGGAGAAGCAGGACATTCCCATTTCACTTCTGGTGGTGAAATGGAATGGGCTGCCCTTGCAACAGCATTCTTCCCACTTGTAAGTCCCATCAATTGCATTCACTAGGAATACTGTCCCCAACAGTGGATGAAGAACAAAGCCATCGTGCTGGTGATCATCGCAACATCTGTTGATGGTAGTAAATTCCATAGATTAGTTTTCACTTCTGCCTGCCCTTAATCTCCCACTGCGCCGCTTCATTGGATGAATCCAAATTCTAGTAGCATTGAGAGAGAGACTTCTCTCTACTTTCTCCCTCCAGTGCCTAATGTTCCACACATCCATTATATTCCCCTTCACTCACTATCCCCCCCAACCCCCCCCCTACAAAGCCCTAATCATTATATCTTTTCCTCATAGGGAAGCTGTTCCAGCCCCCAATCATTTTGGTTGGCTTGGTTTGGATAAAATGCCGAAATCAGCTTGGATTTGGCAATACCTTTCCTGGGCTGGATCTAGACACATCAAAAACGCGTTTCAGGAACATTTCCTAAAGGGAAATCACATTGGCAAAAGACAGGACTCCACAGCGCCATCTGGTGTTCCAGTGTTATAACGCATATAAAGCGCTTTTTCTTTACCAATGTCGACGAGTCCCCAATCTGCAGTATGCATGCTAGATGGGAAGTAACCACTTTAATACAATATGGGCTAATTTTGATGGATATATATTCAAACAGTATAATGAGGAGGTTGGGAAGGATTGTGTCGATGAGTACTTTTACTATGTAAATAACTTTGTCTTTTTTTATTTCTATGTTACTTATCTTTGTTACTTCTTTATTTTCTTTCTTTCTTTCTTTATAATTTTTCTATTTTATATAATTTTCTTTTTTTTACCTGTTAAGAGATACTACATAATGCTTGTATAGACATGCAAATTTTTTGATCAATAAAGAATATTAACAAAAAAATATTTTTTTTGTTGGATATAGGGCTGAAGTGACAGAAAATCAAGGAACTCTCTTGACAATTTTCCTGTATATTGCGGAACAATTGTGTACTTTCAAAATATAACTCTGCTGTTGATCTATATTTTTCATGATGTCTATAACTGTGGCTTTGATTCAACAAATTGGGAGCAGAATTCTCTTAGCAAAAGAACATAAGAGGAGCCAATGACTTTTCTAATTCAGAATCCTGTTCTCACAGTGGACAACCAGATGCCCGTGGGAAGCCTTCAGGGTGCAACTCTCCCATCCTGCAGTTTCCAGCATCTGATATTCAGAAGCATACTGTCTCTGACCAAGGACTTTGCCTTTCTTGCCTCTTCTTCCATGCTACAGACACCCATTTCCCTTAAAAAAGCCAACCTTGTGTGTTGGTGGGCACCTGGGATTGACATGAGATGAAGCACGGAAGACTTCAGATGGAGGAAGCCAGCCAAATCCATGGATTTCTTTTCATTCTGCTCAGAAAAAGTATGTAGGGTTGGATCTCTGGTCATTGGATTTC